CTGACATTTCAGGAAATGCAAGAAACCTGTTTTTTTGTTTTTTGTTTAAATTTATAATTTCCCACTTTTCAAAACATTTTACCAAATAAGATACATCCGTGAGCTACATTTGGCCTGTGGCTGCTTCTTTACCACCTCTGCCCAGAAGCCAGAGTTGCAGAATTGGGATGGATGAGTTTTAGCCCCACCAAGCAGATATCTCAAGGTTCAACCTGCTAAGTCAAAGGGTGACCCATTTACTAACGTGAGCCCTGGCTCAGTCTGTGTTTCAAGTCTGAAATGTCATTTCTTCTCCTCCCTTAGCCTGCCCTTCACTGCTTCTCTCAGTAGAGAAGGAAATTGCTTTCGACCCCAACCCAGCATAAAGTCACTACTTAGTGCCTAATGAAGGGGATCCTACGGTCCAGCCCATCATCATTTGCACTGTCTGCTCAAGGAGGCATAGTCAGGCCTGGGATCCCTGGGTAGCTACAGAGGAGACAGGCAGCAGGGGACTGTATTGGCAGCAACCTTCAAGAGGGTCAGACTCTTTTAGGCATGTGGGCACCCTTGCCCACAGCTAAGTAGAAACAATGCCAAAACCACTGGTCACTTGATTTGATTCTGCCCAACTGATTATTGTAATTGGATGACAGACATATTTCCCTCTCCTTTTCAACTGGTGATGGAGGGTGAGCGAATCTGGCTCATGAGTCATTCTTCTGGGTAGTTACCTAATGGGGAAGATTATCTCCTTTCACAGGCGAGCTGTGCCTGCCTTTTGGCTGCCTAAAGAGTAAAACCAGGTCCAAACAAAATCAAATGCCAGGAAATTTCAGAACTTCCCCACATCTCATATGGCATTGTCTACAAAGGTCTTTCAAATGTTCCCTGCTCTATTACTCAGAGAGGATACACAGTTGCAGAATAAGACAGAAAAGAACCAACTACAATAGGGAATAAAGGAGGAAAGAAAAGACGGAAGATAACTCAGAGCAAAATGGCAGGACTTCTCCCCGCGGGAGCTTGGAGCAAATAATTGGAAATGAGGAAACTAACTGGATTTTGATGGAACTACGACTACACTGAAGTTCTTTAAAATATAGAAGCTGTAGATTCAGAATTTTGTAATGCTGTGAATGGAGCCCTCTTCTGGAGAAATTTTTCAGCAGGTATTGAAACAAGATCAAAACACACAGAGATGGACCTACACAGGCACAAAGAAATAGGAAACACTGTGGCTATGTAGACGACGTGACTGTCACGGAACCCAGAGTTTGCCATTTTCCTTCCCTTCCACCTCAAAGAAATTAACTGGACTCTCCAAGCAACTGTCTTTTTGGAAGGAGGGAAGGAGAGAAGGATATTCTCAAGAACCTCGCTGTACTCTCACCTAAACAGTGACACTCAGGCTGAGTGAGTGTTCCCATGCAGATGCTGATACTCTGTATACCGTTACTGGGTACATTGGTTTGCTGGGCAATTCCACTGTCACACATAGGAGATACTTTTAGAAGGAAATGGGTTTTATTTAATGGAAAACCCAAGGGCTAAAGATAGAAAAGGAGAGAAGGGAGGGAGGCAGAGCAGAAGAGATTAGCTAAGATGACTGTTGGGCTTTTAATATAGACTGTGGCATTACATAAACCCCAGATCACATATTCAGCCTTGCAGTTTATTAAATCTCTTTGGGGACTTGCTAAAAAAATGGTTCAGACATGTGAACTCTGCCACTTTGATTCTTTTCACAACTTATGTCTCTGTTTCCCCAGTGCTTTTGAAATCTTACAGGCTGTCACATGTTGAAGCCATCCCAGGGCAGGGGTGCTCTCTGCCACTCCCATAGTCTTTTCTCCTTATCAGAACCGTTCTGCAAATAAACACTGCCCTTAAGATATAATAAATGATGTTTCGGGGGTACTAAAAAAAAGCACTGATTCTCATTTGAAGTCCTGAAAATCAAGATTCTGACCCCAACAAAGAACTCCCCATTTTAAATCAACATCTCAGAATTCTGTGGAACATTTTTGGTCACTCCCAAGTAACTGCTCTCTAAACCTGAACCACTCCCTAAAATCCTAATTCTTGGGGGATTACTCATTCATTGTTAGAACTTTTGGCTAGTTGTAAGCGATACCCAAATGGGGGTGGGGGGTGGGAATCATATTTACAGTGCAATTTCTATGTTGGGACTCCTTAATCTGTTCCGCATTCATTATTTATCATAGCTAAATGCCAGAGGCCACTTCTGGGACAGCCTTTCCCAAAACACCCCAGGGGAGAAGAGAGGTGACTGTTCCTTGACTTTGCCAGCTTCCAACCATTGTTGTTTAGAATTCTTCCTCCCCCTTCCAAAATGCCTCAAACAGCAACCAGCCAATAAACGTCGAGACTGATGGCTTCCAAAGCCGGACCCAGAGTATTACAACTGCAGTGGAAAAACACATACATGCTTGCCTGAACACCACTTAGGACCAAGTGACTAATTTGCTTTATTACATCGTTTTTCCCTTTCCTCTGTTTTCTCTCTGCCTTGAAAAAGTTTTGGTTTTGCCTGTTGACTCAAAAGCTCCAAGACTTTCTCCACTTCTCACTATGACATACAGAGCTGTGTGCACCTGAATCTCTTGCCGATCAAGTGAACTGCACCAAAGCGATTTCTCTGCAAGGTGCTGTTGCAACCAGGATATCAGTTAGTGTCCTAATGTGGACATTTGCTCTGATTATGCATAACAATCTAAGAGAGAAATAAGCCTCCGAGACGAGGCAATTCAGTTCCGGGTAGAACCTCTGCTCCCCCATGCTAAGGAACTGAGCGAGCTGACAGCCTTCAGACCCACCTGTGACATCTGGGCCCGACGAGAGAAGACACACCAGTTGCTTTACAAAAGGTATCAAGTGAGAAGCCCCGCGTGCACCAAGATTGCTGGATGCTGCCCTGTGGTCCGCCTTGCTCAAAGGGATGTGTAACTTTGACAAGCCCTGGAATCCTAACTGAGGTCCAAGCATGCTGAGAGAGAGAAAAGGACTGTAAAGTCCCCAGGAAGGGCTGTGGTAAGTGCTCCCAGATGCTAATGGTTCCCAGTGTGCCACGCCTCATGATAAATGCATTATCTAGGACATCCTATTGAATGCAATTAATCTACCTGGCAATCCTAGGAAGGTGATAAGATTATTTTACGATGGAAAATCAGAAAGCTCAGAGATATTCAACAACTTGCCCAGGGTGGTACGACCAGCATAGGGCAGAGAGGATCTGTCTGAATCAGAGGCATACTCTGAACCACCCTACTAAATGGGGATATATATACATGCATACAGCCTCAGGGACAGTCAGACTCCAGAAGTCTGGAAAACTCATTCATGGCCAGACATGGGATTTGTGGCAGGACTTAAGGTTACAGAGACCCCCAAGACACTCAGCCAGCAAAGCCCCAGTGTTAGAGGAGTAAAACAGCGCAGTCCTGAATGGGGGCTGTGTATCCAGGGAAGACAGAAATCCTAAGCGGGGGAGGGGCTCAGCAGTCAGGCCGGCACCTTACCCTGCCCCCAGGCACTGGCATCTGCGCTAACTTCCACTTTACATCATTTCCATGGTCACTGTGTTCCTGGGACACTGGCCCATTTCCAAAGTCTAACCCCAACATTGATCTAGCAGTGGCCTCCCTTAGAAGGCTGCCCTCCATCTCCACATCCCAGCCAGGCCTTGCCCGGGATCCTAGCTGCCTCACCACCAGCCCCCTCTCCCCACCACACACACACTCACACATGTGCCTGTTCCCTTGGCACTCAGGAGTCCTGGCCAGGAACTCAACACCCATTCCTAGCACCCAGAGACACTTCCTGTCTCCTTCTCTCCTCTGTCTGGCCCTGCCTTGATCTTACCCACCCACTTGTAGCCTACCAGCCCAACCCCAGCCCCATAGGTTTCACGGGAAGCCTTGGGGGACCGGGTCACAGTGCTCTCAGAAACCACAGGCCCCAGAGCAGGGCTGGGCGTGCCCCTCAGCCGCCAGCACCTCGGTCTGGCCTCCTCGGAGTACTGCTTTCCAGCACACAAACTTCCGGAGATCTTCCAGATACAGAGGTGGTTGCCGGAGAACCAAGTCTCCATCGCACCCCACCCCCCACCCTCTCCCGGGTCACCGGCCCTTCCCTCCAGCCTCAGCGCTCCGAGGGTTAACAGGCAGCTGCAGCCCTGGTGGGCAAGGCTTGAACTTTTCTCTGCGCTCCGCGCCCGCCCGGGAAGACAGCAGAGGCGGCAGTCGGGGCTCGGAGCCGGAGCTACAGCTGGCTGGACAAAGGGGGCGCGGGGGGCTGGGGCCTGCGTCCTGGCAGGGGGAGTGTGGCGGGGGGACGCGCTCCGGGCCCGAGGTCGGGGAGGAAAAGAGCCCTGATGCGGGCTCGGCTAGAGCCAGAGCCTTTGAGCGACAGCAGCAGCCGCGGGGCTGCAGCGCTAGGCTGGCGGGAGGCGCCTTCCAGAGCGCCGTGGGGCTGGGCGAGGGGGCCCGGGCGCCCAGGGAAGTCGGCGATGCCAGGCCGGCCTCTCCAGCCCTGCAGCCCGCAATCCGGACCGGAGCCCTGCTTCCCCGCTCGGCGCTGCGCTGGGGGGAACCGCGACTCCTTTGAGTCGCCTCCAACTGAGTCTTTCTCCAATACATGAGCCTCCGGAGGAGGCGAATCAAAGTTACCCCACTTGATGTAGGCGAGAATGTCGCCCCGGATTGAAGAAAAAAAAAAAAAAAAAAAAAAAGACTAGGGAGCTCTCGCCTCCTCCTCCAAACGTACACACACACATTCTCTCTCTCTCACACACACACACACACACAACCCGGAGTAAGAAACCAGGGGCCCCCTAGGATCCCCGGGGCTGTGAATGACCTCCCTTCGAGCCCCAGGCTTCCTTCGCTGCCGCGCCCCAGAGTCCCCCGACCCCCGAAAACCCCCTCGCCCTGCCCGCGCCAGGCGATCCGAATGCAGAAACGGGGCGCGGGGTGCGCCCCGCAGCCCCTCTTCCTTACCTGGGACAGGAGAACGCACAGGAGGAGCGGAGTTCTCGGCTGCATTTTGCCCGACTAGAAGCACCCGGCGGCGTTTTCATTCATGCACTTGGCTGCACTGAGCATATTTTCCGTGGGAGCCAGGCTTTGAGGAGAGGCTCTGCCTCACCAGCCAGCCAACTTCCCAAATAGATCAGCGGCAGCATCACGAAAGCATTGGGTAGAGGCTGATGACCAGGACCAATGGCTTTACAAGACGGATTCCTTCATAAAGCTCCCTCGTTTTGCATGGCAGATACAGGGCGAGCACCTCGCACAGAGCGAGCCCCTTTGAGGAGGCAGCCCGTTTGCTTTTTTGGACTGTTGGGGCCCAGCCTCACAAATCACGCTGGGCAACGCCAGCCGATTCCACTTTTGCAGAGAATGGAATTGCACCGGGGACTGGTGAGCACTTCCAGCCCAGTGCAACAAGATTCTCTTTATTAAAATGTTAATAAGATCCACTTTAATTCCAATAAATCAAATAAAATGACCCCAGCAGTTCCAGCCCTTTCCACGCCTGGAAAGACTTGGCGGTGGATTTTTTTTTCTTTCTTCCTTTTTTTTTTTTTTTCTTCTTCTTTCCTCTCCTAATGTGGCCCAAGTCATGATGGTGTTTGGTGTTTCCTAGCCATCTCACAAATCACAAAGACGACAGATCAATTCTTGCTTGTAGAAAAAAATCCATCAAGGGGCAATAGATTTTATTAACTGCTCAGGTGAGAGTCTGACTGGCTGCCTATTCCACAAATGTGCATCTGGCACCAGATTTGGAGCCATGATTTAAGGAAACTTTTTTTTTTCTATATGGATGTGATTTTTCAGGAGCTCCTACCAATCCCAAGGGACTGAGAATAGTCATGACCTCTGCTCAAGGGGTTTCATAAGTGGGGGAGCTATAGGAATGAGGGTAAGAGGGATATATAGGTCTACCTTTCCCAGTAGGAATCTAAGAATATGCAGTAAAGATCTCACTTTGTCATTTCCACGTAGCCTCCTTCTAAAAAGGATTTAAGGTATTTTAAAATAAAGGCATTTGTGCAACAGAATTGATGAAACCAAAACAAAAAAATCCAGGCTGGGAGGAAAAATTCAGAAAACCAAAATGCTAAACGGAAACTCTATTATATTTGCTCTGATTTGGATCTGAGCTTCCTGGTGGCCAAAGCAATAAGAGAAACATGTAAGGTATATAGTTCTTATTATAGAAAAAGGTACACAAATATCTACTGGTAAAATTTATCCCTGGAGCTGAACAGTAGAATACATGTATTATAGGACATCTCATATAGCAGGACACTGAGCAATGGACCATGTTGAGATCTAGTGGATTGGGCTATATTCCCAGCACCTGGCACAGGGCCTAGAACATGGAGACAGTCATCAATGTGTGTTAAATAGATGTCTAGACCTAATCAAAGTGGCAGGGGGTGGGTGGCAGAGAGTCTGGAGCCATACTGCCTAAGCTTAACCTCCAGTTCTGTCACAGATAAGTAAGTTACTCACACTCTCTGTGCCTATGTTTGTTCACTAGTTAAATGAGAATATAAATCATACTGAACTTACAAGGTCGTCGTGAGGATTAAGTGACAAAATGACCACTCGATAAAGGTAAACTTTTTAAAATTCCTTCATTGCCAGCTATTTAGTCCCAAGGTCACCTCGCGTGTTCCCAAGGTCACAGACGAAGCTGCAGTGCTATCTGCCCTCCTCGCTGCATTAACCAGCGCTGGCCCAACAGATGGCAATGGTCGCCCAATGGCCTCCAGAAAAGCCCAGGAAAGGTGGATGTTGCTGCTTCTTCCAGTTCCTTCAACTTTCCATCCTCTTTACTAAGCAGGAACTGGCCCTGAACCTTTGAGAAGGGCAGTCACAGTGTTTGATATAGAGGACTGTCCCTGCTTGAAACTTGTGTGTGGGGACCTAGAACCATGTTGCCTACCAGTAAGAGTAAAACGGGGTATTTTGGAATCGGGCAGGCTTCAAATCAAGGCATCCTGAAACACCTTGTTTTTTCTCTATTCAACAGCAGGAGCCATCTTGTCCGTCAGGGGCCAGCTGAGCTAAGCCCACGGATTCAGCAGGCACCGAGGCAGACAGGGAGTAGAGGACAGCTTGGGAGACGATAAACCACTAGAAGGGATAAAGATGGCAGAAATCCTCCAGCCACACTTCCACAAGCAGCCACCTGGTGGGGGAAGCAGTCCTTAGGGCAGGGTGTGCAAGGCTGCACTTGACCCAAGTGTGAAACCGTATTTTTGATTCCGTAGTTCGGCGGGCCCTTTCTGCGGGGCTCCATCCCTTGGGCCCGGCTGCTGCTCACCCAGTAGGTCTGATATTCTCCCTGCCTGGCCAGTGCAGGGTTGCACTTGCCAGCCCCCTTGTGGTCAGCGTGGGGCTGTGTGACCACTTAGAGCCAATAAGCTGTGAGCAAAAGTGTCAGGTGTCACTTCACCGCTGGAGCATTTAATCGCCAGTGAGAGACCCGGTTTCCCTAGACCAGGGAACCGGATGGAAATGTGTTCCGGTGGGATCAGTCAGGGTGTTCTCGCTAGCAGCAGCTGCCAGAGGAAGGGAAACGAGATCGGCAGTGGCAGTGGAGGCCTCGGCCAATCCCAGGGGAGCTCTGCAGCAAGAGAGGCCTTCCATTCGGAGATGACCCTAATAGAGTCGGGGGCTGTGCCTTTGTGCCCTAAGAGGCCAGCTGTTGGATGTTCCCCCAAGGAGGCAAGTAATCTATTGTGAGGTTTGGCTTGGCCAAGAGCAACATTCCAATCAGACTTCAGCTTCATCGTCTACATACAAAATGAATGCACTGACCCACAACAGGTAGCAGGATGCTAGGAGTCCCAGACTGCCAATGACCACATGCCCTGATGGTACCAGTGAAGACAGGGGCACATTTGCAAAAATCCACCGACTCTGTCTCTGGACAGTACCTGTGCAGGCATTCACCAAGGTCCTGGGCTTTTCTCCTGAGTAATTGTCCCAGCAGGCAGACTGGCTCCAGCCACCATACCTGAGTCCAAGCAAGCATGCCCAAAGGGCCTCTCCCGTACCCCCCTACTTCCATCCCCAAGGCTTAGATTTTAAGGGCCAGGAGGAGTTAACTTCAAGAGTTTTCTTAGGCTTTAAGGCTCATTTTTAGAAACCCATGAAGTCTAGGAAGGCAGAAAAGATTTGTCTGCAAAAATGAGACTTAGTTTAGGATCTCCAGACTCTACTTACATTGGGCAAGTTGCTTTTACTCCCCAAAGCTCAGTTTATTCATCAAGAACATGGGAATGATAATACAATAGTGCTACAAGAGTTGCTGTAAAAATTGATGCTACTTTTCCCCCTACTCCCATCTTTTTTCCCCCCTACTCCCCTACTTCCCATGCTTTTTTCCCCTACTCCCATCTGTTCTCAGAGAACATGCATTTCACCAAACACAAGATATCATATTTTGTTCAATAAAGACAGAAGAAAAATCATTTCGCTGCAGTGATAAAAGGCCCCTGAAGAAGAAATCCGTTTTGTTTTGTTTTGTTTTGTTTTGTTTTTGCATTTTCCCTTCAACTCCCTAATGGGAATCTTTTGGCTGCTGGACAGATTGATGGTGGCAAGTGAGCGCTGAACCTGGGAACCACCCCCTAATGGCCCCTGCTTTACCACCCTGCACTCCAGCCCCCCACCAAGCCCCTGGCTGCTTTTGCCCAGAACCTAGGTCTGCCTCTGGACACGTGCCATGTTCACACCGCTTTCTCAGGCACATCAGGCTGGCTCTGGGGCTGACAAAATCGGCCAACATTGAGTAGCTGTATCCTGAAGGCCCAGGGAGGGAGACTGCTGCTACTCAATGACACGGGTGAAGACGTCATTTCTGGCTGCATGGAGGTTGCCATGCACATGTGTGCAGTGACTGGGTGTTACATGTACGAGCACATGGCTGTGTGTGCATAGCGAGGTGCATGCCGTACCTTCCAGCAGAGATAAATTACTCAAATTTTGGTGCCCTTTGAATGTGCTTTTGTACAAATGAGGCATTTGTACAGAACAGTGATAAACCAGAGAGATACCCTTATGAGACACAAGAGTTAGGAATTCTGCCAGGAGCCCTTGATAATGGGGAGATGCTAGGACCGCCAGGAGGGAAGCCCACACTGTACAGCCTCATGGACAGAGCACAGTGCTGAAGCTACACCCCTCCCAGTGGGACAGTCTGCTCAAAAACACCTGAGACTATGACGCTACACCATCCCACAATACCCAGCCACCCAAAAGTAGCATCCTTGATTGTTCCTGAGCCACAAACCTGTTTTGTTTCCTCAGAGCCTTTTATGTCACTTAATCTTATAAGTGGTCACTTGCGTTACTGCTCCATTTCTCACCCCATCCTGCATCTCTACCTTTTACTCCTTGACTTCGGGTTTGGCCCCATGAACTTGATGTGGCCAGTGGAATGAGGCAGAAGGGATGAGGAGGCAGTTATAAACCCAGGCCCCAAGAGGCCCTGTGTGTTTCAGCTTGCTCTCGCTAGGCCTCTATAAATGCCTTCATGGGCGAGCTCATTGGTTGCAGGAGGAGAGACAAGCACCCCCATGAGCCTAGAGGTGCTTAGGTAAGCCCAGCAGAGCCCCACCCTGATCATCTGACCTATAGTAAAATTAAACGATTGCTCTAAATTTGGAGGTGGTTTGTTATATACCAAAAGCTAACCAATCCTTGCATTTGTTCACTTGTTATTTGTCTACCTCTCTGAAACGTAAGTCCTATATCTTTCTGCTTCTGTGGGCTCAGCTTCTGGGACACTGGCATATAGTATGTACCCAAATGATTTTTGCTGAGAATATAGGTTAAGTGGGTTCTGTACTGAAAACTGTGTGATGCTGATGTGAAAACTGCCCCCTACCTATACTGCCCTAACAGAGAGGCTTCCTTAATGGTGACAATTCAGTCCTGCCACATGGAAAGGATGCTATGACCTTGATAGTATCCAATCCCATGTGGCCATCTAACTCATCCTACAGCAAGGCAAGGTCTTCTGACAATAGTCTAGGCCAGAATCAGACAAAGTAAGGAACATTCCAGAGGCTACTTTGAGCATGTTGGTGCTCAGAGATATTTGGTGAGGAATACTTGGGGTCTGACAGCCTTCTGAATTTAGACAATGTATAAAGAGCCCAGACATCTAAGACTAAGACAGGAAATACTCCTTTGGCTTTGGAGATACTGCATTAAGACAGTGCCTTCAATGAATGCAATCAATACCATCATGCCTTCCACACTTGCACAGAGATAAAATCGGGAGTGACTTTTAGGCCATCT